TTGGGGCGGGTGGGTGGGTCGTTATCTGCACAAAACGGAGCCCCCACGTCCGGCGCTTAGGTTGTGGGGGTCCCTTGAGTGGGAGGGGGTCTGGGACTGCGAGTCATAGTCTGATGAGGAGTCCGGATCGATTAGATTTTGGAGTAATGGAGCGTAGACTCCAATTACAACTGATTGTAATCAAACTCCGCTTAACTCTGGACTCCTCATCGGGCTATATCCCACAGGTCCAGACTAGTGATTACCCTGGTATTAAGTTTAGCCCAAGGTTTAGCCAAACAAATGCCCCTGCGAGTTATCCGTCGTACAATGGGGGTTTACAGGGCTGGTATGTCTGTCTGGATCATTCTTGGTTGATTCTACGTTAACTGATACTAATTAGTTCTGTATCATGACGTCTCACGATAAGCTGAACAGCTGTGATACAGTCATGATACTTTTGTATGTTATGATAGAATCGATTATCATACAATATCTACGTGAGATCATATGTTGGTCACGACTCTATCATGACCCGGTGTGACATTTTTGTCTCGTAACCGCTAAATTATTTTTGGGATGACATACATACATACATACCATATCATGCTTGTGTACCGCATCGATCGCCCAGCAGCGATCGCAGACCCAGATTCGCCATTTCGTTGGGAGCGTTGGGACATAAGAAGTGGCTTTAGTGGCTTCACCACAAAATCTCGTACCGCTTTGGAGCCTCCTCTTGCAGATCGCAATAAGCCGTAGGAGGTGCCATTTTTAAAACGTCTCCTAAATTGTAGTGGCTGTATGCGCATAGGTGCGTTCGCCCGGTGGGATTGGGAAATAGGGCAAGTTGAGTTTAAGGCTAGGGACGCTTGATGAGCGGCACGGGATAGCGATGGGGACAGAGACGCAGCTGGATACAATTGCAAACTTCCGGAACTGGCACCCTACATCCCAAACGGCTCAAAACCAACGGGAGATATACGAGCACAGAGTCTTCCAAGTATCTATCTCAATGAATCGAATCATATATAGGCTGAACTCTCAATAGCTGCATGTATGCGCATAGAGCTGATAGGTAGAGGTTAGATTACGGGCGTTTTCGGCCACAAACCTATATACCGGCTCTGGGTGTTTCTGCCCCTCGGATTACGACCTGACCGCGACGCGTTCGAGCTCGTGGATCAATATATAGGTACCGGTTGTTTGATAGCTCTCTGTTGTCCTCGAAGTACGGCAAGCTATAGCTCAAGTGACTCGAGGATGATGATTTGTTTTCGAATGAGCTTCCAAGGTTGGTTAGCTCAGTTGGTTAGAGCGTCGAGCTGATATCCAAGTAACTCGAAGGTCATGGGTTCGACCCCCCTACTGACCACATCTTTTGCCTCCTCCCTCCACATCCCCTTCCATCCACCTTAATCACATAACTTTTTTCTTCATAACCCACGTAACAAGAGCACACGAACATATGCCATATATTCACATCCCCATAAGCATACAAGTGCATCGCAAAAAATCTCATCTCATCTCAAAATAACTAGTTACACATCCTACAAAAAGGACATAATACGATAGATAGATAAGCCAGCCAGTCACTCAATCAACCAAACCGAACTCATAGTCGTAAACAAAATCAAGAAAACTAAGCGTTAAAACAAAACAAAACGAAAGACGACGAACAGGACAAGGAAACAAAAAAAGATATGTACACGAACCACATCTACGATTGATCCTCCCTAACCTCGCCGACCTCGACACTCGGACCCAATACCCTCGTACTGCTCAAATCAAGACTAGGCGGAACACCTAACCTTTGCGCATCGCTCGCCGCGCGTCGTCTCCTTACTCCGACCTCGGATATGACAGCTTTGAGCTCTTGCACAACGTCTCCCCCCGGACCCCAATTCTCTCCACCGCTCGAACTCGCAGGTTTAAGTTCCCGTTTGGCACGCGCAGCAGCGATTCGGTCCGCACGGGACATCGTACTCCTCAACCTCTTCCCCCCACCCACACCTCCGACAATCAAATCATCCGTATCAGCCTCGAAAACCTGCTCGATCCCAGGCGGGGGAAGATGCTGCGCCGAAGTGCCCAACAACAAATACGCAGACGCGTCGTCTGAGCGCACGTTTGAGCTCTCGATCGTAGACCGGCTAAGAAGGGTGTCCCGGCCCAAGGAATCTCGCCGGAGAATGTCCGCGTTGCTGTGATGGTGCATCGCGTCGAGCGGGGTAAGTTCTTCCCCCTTTTCGGAACTTGCCGGGCTGGAGGGGCTTCCGTCCAACCCGGGCACGTCACTGTCTATATCTATATCCTCTTCTTCTCGCCTTGCCCATTGGTGTTGTTGACGGAGTACGGCCCGAGCGCGTTCGAGCTGTCTGAGCGCCGTCCCAAGCTCACGCCGGACGGCTTCGAGCTGCGCGTCCGAGTCGGGCGATGACGTGTCGAGGGAAAGCGTCGAGAGCGATAAAGCTAGCTCTTTAGCGCGTCCTGCAGCTCCGACTAATTCGTCAACGTGCATCGCGAATCGTTCTTTGGGCGTCGCGGTAGGTGCGAATCCAGCCGAAAGAGGCGTCAAAACAGCTCCGGGAGCCAACCCGCTCTCGCTTCCAAAACTCGAATCCCCCAGCCCGTTTCCTTGGACGCTTTCCACCGCAGCACCGAGCCGACTCGCAGCGTCCTCCATCCCGGCACTCAACAACCCCATCACGCTTTTCACGTCCTCCCAATACTCTCCGTCCCCGTCCGCGAACCGCAACGCCATAAGATGCGCAGCCGTATGCCTCCGACTCGATCGAGCGACCGTAAGCGAATGTCGAATCGCAGCCAACGAAGTCGTCTGGACCTGGTTATGCGACACACGTCGAAGGGAAGATAGCGCCGCGGACCCAAACGTCCCCCCGTTTGGCGTGCGGTTTCGTCGTGGAGGCGTTCGAGGCGTCGTCATAGCCTCCGAATCAGACCCAAATTGGGGAAGGGGCGCGAGCCGTTCGCTGTCTTCGCCGATATCGGACACGACCTTGGGCGACCCCGCGTCTTCGTCCTCGTCGACCGGCAACGGAACGCCCATGGCGCGATCGGGCGTGGCGAGTCGAGACCGTCGCATGCTCGCGCTGGTTCGGCGTCGGCCGAGTCCGAGGGTTCCGTAATTCCCTCCGGTGCTAAATTTGCCGCCTCCCCCGCCTCCAATTCCGGGGCCCCATGTGCTCCGTTTGCTCCCAGGCGTGTTTGGGTTAGGAGATGGCGAGCCGTCGAGGGTTCGAGGGCCAGGTCCAATGCTGGCGTATCGTGCGTGGCTGCGAACCCGAACGGGTGGGGGAGAGGTCGGTGGGGCGTACATTGCTGTTAGAGGTGCGAGTGCAGCGGGTTGTGTGAGTGGCGCGAATAGTCCGCGCAGAGTGTCTGTAGTATTTGTGGCCGCGTTTAACTCTGAAGAGAGCGCGACGCGCAGGGCCGAAGTGGCAGCAGAGGGGGCAGGAGCAGAAGACGAGTAGAATAGCCTAATTAGGGATAGAAAATGAGCTACAAATGAAAAGACCATAACGGCACAATAACACTCACGTTCGCTCTTCGGTCTCAAGGAGACCAATCGCCTCGGACACGACCGAGTCCCAAGCACTCGTAGCTTGAACACATCGGTCCAAGGCGGCGAGCATCATCGGGGCCGGATCGTCCTCCAACTCGCTTAACCAACCACTGCTTCTTAATTTTCCGCACGCAGTTGCTATGAACTGACGTGCATGGTGTTCCGGAGCGATATCCGTAACATGTGCGAGGCCCGCAATGAGCGCGATTATACACGCCGCTGTGAACCCACTGGTGACGAACACGGCGAGAACGAGGACCCCCGCGGCGAGCGGCCAAGCGTGCACCGGGTCGACCGATGACGCAAGGTCGGATTCGTCCGTAGGTAGAGTTATCGGGTGGTGTGGGATGGTCGAGGTGTTTGGAGGCGAGCTGGAGGGAGATGTGTTGGAAAGCAGTGGGGAGAGGATGATGGCGTGGGTAAACCGCTCGGCAAACTCGCGGTGGGCGGTTTGGCGGGAGAGGTGCATGATGGTATGGGACAGTTGCTGGTACATGGCAAGTATAGGGGAGGAGGGGGAAGAGATGAGAGAGCAATGATCAGTCGAAGCGTCATATATGATATGATAAGAACGTGTGTGGGGCGTGTGTGATATTGGCGTAGGACTTACACGGAGTACAGACACGACTGGCTCGAACACGTCCTGGAGTCCTTCCGTTTCAATCGAACGCTCAGAATCTGTTAATAGCTGGTCGCCTCCTGGCATGGTCATGCTCAACGCCTGTTCACCAGCCTCATCTGTCATCCCATCAGCTTTAACCCCAGATAATCCAGAAGAAACAACTCGCCTTTGAGGTAGTCACCAAGCGGGTGCTGGTCGTATACCACCTGGGCCATGCTAATTAAAAATATTTTATGGTCTGAGAGAGTGCCGTCGTCGCTAGCTCAGTACGGTCTGCTGGGCAGTGTTGCTGCGGCTGCGGCTCGAACAGGTTTCTCCCGGCGACCGAGGTCTAGATAGATAAGTCGAAAAGTTAAGAAACGAGCGTGTGGAGATGGTTGATAGGAAAAAACTGGTTGTTTCTGCTGGCTGAAGGGTCGTGGTCGTTGCAGGAACAACGGACGCGAACGCGGGCACGTGCCCGATGCGTCACAAACTTGGGTTCATCTGGATCAGGGACAGTCTGGGCAGAAAGCTAAAGTTTCAAAATGCGAGAAACACATGGGACTCCTTTGTGAAAACACGCGCACTTGTATCTGTGCGTATATATGTGTATTCTTTATCCTCAAATTTCCTCACTCTCCAACTCCAAGTTGCCTCAGTACTTCACGAAGGTAATTCTAAAGTACAGATGCGTTTGACAGCTGCCTGACGTTTCTCCGGCGGTAACCATGCTCGGCCCACATCGGCTTCCAAAATTCCCTCAACCGTAGACAATCACTTCGGCATGATTCACGAAAATCTCGTTCTACCTCACATTCATCCCATCCGATTAGTTTTACTCAAACCAAAAAGATAGCCAACAACCCTCACCTTTCACCTAGTCCTAAACGCAACATCCCTCTGACTCCCAACACCAACAGCCTCCTCTCTCAACGCCTCGCACAACGTCTCTAGCTGAAGCTTCGTACTCTGGTCTCCTGAACTCGCTCGCACCCGGTCTTCGTACTCTTCCAGAAACGCACTGCATACTGCGTGCATGTGCGGCGTTTCAGTGGGCGTTTGGGAGATGATTTGGAGACGGAGGGGGGTGGAGAGTCGGTCTTGTGAGTTCATGGTGTAGATGATTCTCGGTGCTTCAGGCACCTCGCCGCGAGATCCAGTCTGGAAGCAAAAAATAGGCGCCGTAAGGGTCCCGGCGTGATGTTCAGAAAGACGCTCGGGTGTCTTGTGTTGAACCGCAGTAATTTACCAAGATGAAATAGGAAAAAAACAGTTCCTTCGCACCACCACCGAGTCCGACCGATGCCACGTAAATCCAAGAAAAGTCTGGCAGCAACAAAGCGCGAGAAATTAAAGAAAGCCGAGAGATGTAAGTAACAAACCCAAGAAACATGAGCGGATTAAAACTCACAGAAAAGCAGTAGCAAACCAACTCGACACTCAAGTTTTGTCTCATAATGATCTCGAAAGCGACCGTGAAGACAGTAAGGGGTATAAGGGGTATAAGAGTGACAATCAAGTGCTGGAGGAGAGCGTAGGGGGCGGTAACACAACCGGGTTCGAGAGCGATGCGGACGAACCAGAGGTCGAAATCGGTGGCACTAAGGAGACTCTGTATGAGCACCTTTACCGTAACCAAATAGATGAGAATGTGAGTACATCGTCATAGTATATACACCCAATGGATTACTAAAACAAGAAACAAAACGCAGCATGTAGGCAAACGAGCTCGTGCAGAGTCAGACCCGGTCGCCACAACACCAGGGGACACTACAAGCGTCAAACCAGGGGTGGGCCAGATACCTGCAACAAAAAAGGCGAAAATAGACGGAAATCAGTGCAACACTCGCGGAAAATATACTGGGGACTCGCGTACAACCGCATGGCGGAATCGCAAGCACGTTCAACGATGTGCA